TATTGAATCTTCTCCTGAATAAAGTGACAATTTATTTTAATGTGCTTCATTCTCTCATGTAACACGAGCTTTGTTGCTATATGAAGTGTTGATTTGTTGTCACTGTATAATCTTGTTGGTAGCTCCACTTGACTTCAACCTCTTGCAAAATTCCTTTTATCCAAATTATCTCTGCTGCTTTAATGGCCATATTTCTATTTTTTACTGCAGTAAAAGAACGTGCTATTGTGCTTTGTTTTTTTTTTTATTTTCAAGAAACTAAAGAATCTCCTATTTTAACACAAAATCTGGTCACTGAATTCCTTGACACGGGGCAAGCTGCCCAATCTAAATCACAGCAGGCTACAAATTGGCATTTACTCGTACTCTTCAACGATATGCCTTTCCTTGGACCTTTCTTGAGATATCTAACAACTCTTAGTGTTGCTTCGGTATGGATTTTTTTAGGTTATTGCATGAACTGGCTCAAGTGTTGCACTGCGAAAGTGATATCAAGTCGTGTGTGGGTTAAGTAAATGAGTCTTCCAATCAATCTCTGTAAGAATGTCTTATCTTCTAGCAATTCATCTTCTTCTTGTGAATTCTCATCATATTAAACAGTAGTCAACTTTACATTCTATTCCAAAAGAGTATTAGATGGTTTAGCTCATCCTAAACCAGTATCTTCTATAAGTTCTAAAGTATATTTCCTTTGGTTCAATGGTATTCCCTCCTCATATCTCAAAATTTCCAGCTTTAAGAAGTAGTTAAAATCCCCTAGGTCTTTCATCTTGAAATTTTGATTCAGGATCTGCTTCAACTCATTTACCAATTCAAGAGCATTACCAGTTATAAGCAAATCGTCAACATATACAAGCATTACCACCAATTTGTTATCATTCTTCTCGGTAAACATGGATTAATCAAACTTACTTTGCTTCCACCAATGATTCTGACAACTTCATGTTTCATTGTCGAGAAGGCTGTTTTAACCCATAAAGAAATATTTTTAGCCTACATACTATGTGTTCTCTTGGCTGCAAAATTATCTTCAGGCAAATGCATATAAGCCTCTTCAAACAAATACCTTGAAGGAAATTATTATGCACGTCCATTTAAAAGAGAGACCTTGAAACAAAACAGCAAGAGCAAGAATAATTTGTACAATGACAAGCTTGGTGACTGGAGAGAATGTTTCAACATAATCAATCCCCTCATTTTGGCAATAGTCTTTGGAAACAATGCGAGCTTTGAATATTTTATTAGTGCCATCATCCTTGTATTTGAATTTATACACCCATTTGCAATCAATGGGTGTTTTTTCAGGCGAAAAATGGCACAACAGAGTGCAAGGTGGTAAATAAATATAAGAAATACATTTAGAAACGGGAAATAGGAAAGAAGAATAAGTGGAAGAAGAATAGGCATATTGGTAATAATATATATTATTACAAATATAATCATTTAATCAAGATGAGGGTTTAGTGACACGAGAAGACTGTCGATGAAGTGGCAAAATACTAGGATCAGGGTCCCCTGTTGAGACATAAGTATAGTTAGAAGGATGACTATCTAGGTTTAGAGAAAAAATGAGTATTGAAATCTGGTAAACATGGAAACGAGGAGCAGTGGATGAACTAGGTTAAAGAGGAACCAAAGGTAAGACTGGAAAGAAGAAGTTTGGTGAAGATGACTTTAGTGATGGTAAAGTTGGTGAATGCAAGTTTGACGAAGGGAAAGGTGAAGAAAGAACAAGAAGATGACTTTAGTGATGGTAAAGTTGGTGAATGCAAGTTTGATGAAGGTAAAGGTGAAGAAAGAACAAGAAATTTTTCACCGGGAACATGAGGAGATGAAAGAAATATAGGTGAAGAGGGAGAAAGAGAATTAATTAAAGGGGAAAATAGACTCATAAAAAATAACATTACGATTAATATAGAACAAATTAATAGCTAGATTAAAAAGAAAATATCATTTTTGAGCTATCGAATATCTCATAAAAACAATGGAATAGCTTTAGCAGAAAACTTTTCACAGTAATTTGAGTGAGTGGCTTAAGCAATACATCCAAAAATACGAAAGTGAGAAAGTGATTGAGGCTTATTAAACAGTAATTCAAAAAGGAATTTTTCAATTAAGGATTGTAGATGGAAGCCTATTAATTAAATAACAGGCAATGAGAATGCATTAACCCTAAAATTTAATGGGAACTTTGCAGTGAAACCGTAATACCCTTGCTACTTTGAGAATATATTTATGCTTAGGTTTTGCAACGCATTTTGTTGAGGGGTGTGGACACAACAACTTTGATGAATAATCCCTAAAGATTGAAAGAGAGAAACACATTTTGGTCCAAAAAATACAGACCCATTAACACTTCTAAAAACTTTGACAGAGACAGATAACTGATTCTGAACAAGATGAAAGAAGGCTTTAAGGAAATAAATGTCGGCTGACTTTAGTCTCAACAGGTAAACCCGAGTCACTCTGCTAACATCATCTACTAAAGTAAGAAAGTACCTATGTCCACTATGGCTGGAAATGTGATAAGGGCCCACAGGTCAACATGAACTAACTAAAAAGGTGAAGTCGTTCGAGAATTGTTGATAGGAAAAGGGATACGAGATTGTTTTGCTAATGGACATATAGAGCAATAATGAACATAACTTGTACTAAAATGAACAGTAGAAAAATCATGCAATTTATTCATTTGGGTGATCATGGCATGTATTAAACAAGAATGCCAAAGTATAATAGGACTAATAGCATATGACGTACATTGGGATGATGTAGAACAAACAGAAGAACAAATTTTAGAAGATACAGAGTGACCCGTGGACGAACCCATACCCAAAACAAGAAGAGAAAATTCAAAAATAAAGATCACCATATGCTCTACCAATTCCCTTGATCTTTTCATTTAAGAGATCTTGTAACAAACAGAACTCAGGATAAAAAAATGACAACATAATGAAAAACACTAGTAAGTTTAGAAACTGAAATCAAATGATCTGTAAAATTAGGAACAAATATAACATGGTCAAGAATGTGAATGGGTGTTGAGGCAACATAACCAGTGTGTGTAATTCGAGTCTTTTTATCGTTAGGAAGGTGAATAAATCGAGAATTTAAAACACATGCAGTCGAGAATTTATAACATTATATGATCTCTGGCACCGGTGTCCAAGATCCAATTGCACTATTGCAGCTAGCAGCGCAAGGAGCATTAGAAATGTTACTTGCAAAATTGGCGGCTGGTTCCACCGGCAAAGCCTTATTCAGAAGGTCAATAATCTAATGATATTATTCTCATGTGAAAATTGAAACAGATGAGGCAGGAGCAGACATGGGAGAACTCAAATCAGGAGAGTTTCCAGATCTAGTAACAGATTTTGGTTAAACCGTGAGATTCTCTTAAACATCCTTCCTCTTATTGAACTTATAATCAGAGGGAAACTCTATTAACCTGTAATAATTCTCCTTTTTGTGTCCATGAATTTTACAATGGTCACAAATACTATTAAAACGGTGTCGACCAGAGCCACCACTAACTGAAGCAAAATTGGAATAGAGAGTAATTGGTTCCAGGAGAGGAGAAGCATTGGTCATATAAGATTCATTAAGGCACATGAGAAATTGATTGTTGAAGCGCATGCTGAACATTCTCAATGGAACGATCACAATCACAGGGAGAAAGCGGAACTAAAATAACATACTCATCCTATAACAGTTTTAATTTAGTGTAATTTGTGGACACAGAAGCATCACCTTGAATTGAAGTTGCAATAGCATAATAGAGATAATAGATCTGAGAACCATCTATCTTGTCAAATCTCTCTTTCAAATCCTTCCAAACAAGTGTCGCACTAGATGTAAAGACAATGCCAACATAGAGATCCTTACTGACAGTGTTAAGTGCCTAAGAGAGGACGACTACATTACATCTATCTCACTGAGATTGTAGCTGCTAATGATAATCCTCACGACGAAAGGTGCCATAAACAAAGCCAAGCTTATTCTTGGCAAGAAAGATACTCATCGAATGACTCCAAATGTTACAATTTTCAAAACCGATCAACTAACCATAACAGCACCAAGCGTATTTGATGGATGCAAATACAAAGGATGATTAAAATCCAGACCAAACACCTCATATGATGGCATCACGACGAAGAATTATCGAAAGAAATAGAGAATCCAAAAGAAACGAAGATGAATTTTGAGAAAGAAAACTCTAATAACACACTGAAAGAAATGAGTTAAGGACAAAAAAAACCCAGTACATTGAAAGGCCCAAGAAAGTGACTCATAATACTATGTAAATTTTTTCAATATGGATAATATCTCTATATCATTGCATTAATTTATTTACAAGGCATCAAATATATATAATTTCTCTAACTCATTAGCATCTAATCAACTAATCCAAATGAATGAATAACAACAATAACAATTCAACTCTCTACAAAAACATTATATAAAAATATTCTTAAATATATAAATGATAATTATATTATTATCTCGGATCAAATATCTTTTACTTTAATCTCGAATATATTCTAAATTCAAATTTAAAAAAAAAAAATCCAATATTATAAAATCATGTCAGAACTCGTTGAATTCAAGTAAAATATCATTCCTAAATGCAATGTTTTGTCTCATCAATGACTTTAAGTGATGAAAATATAAATATTGTCATTGGTGGTTCAAATTGTAAGAATTAGTTTAAGTTTGAACTATAATGTGTACGGTAATTAAATCTTTAGTTATATCATTATTTAGATATAAATAATCATGTTAATATTATAAATTATTATATCGGTATTGTAAATTATAACGTTAACTTTATAATGTCTAATTATGATTTTCATCGATCAAACGATTATATTGATTAATTTTTTAAGTTTAGAAATTTAATTGGATATAAATAATAGGACTGAATTAAATATTTCTAAAAGTTTGAGGGCTTTAGGAACCATTCACCCGGTGCGCGAAATACTCGTCGATGAAACCGAATTTTCGACTTAACATCTTCCTCAACCCTTGACTACTGTATTATGAAAGAACCAAAAAAAGAAAAAAAAATCAAAGCAAATGAGGAACAGATTGCTTAACTCTTTTTTCTCTTACTCAAAATCATTGCCTTTTCACCCTCAAAACCCCCACCTTATTCGCCAAATCTTCTTCTCCCAACTCACCCAATTCGTTCCCACCTCTTCCGCTGACAATCTCGATCCATATGAGCCCTTTCCGATGCAAAACAACCAACGGGTCGAACCCGTATCAGCCCAAGACTTCGCCTTTTTAACCGCCGATTCAGGGCCTTCTTCTCAACAAGAACTCGATGCGGGTAAGTTTTCATTCGACGCCGTTTCGATTGCGAATGCCATTTTGAGTGATAATGGGGAGTGTGAGGACAAAACCCAGATTTTTCTTAGGCAGTTTAGGGAAATAATCAATGAAAAATTGGTCGTTAAAGTTTTGAACTTGCTGAAATTGAAACCCGAGTTGGCTGTTAAGTTTTTCATTTGGGCTGGGAGGCAATCTGGGTATTATCATACCGCTGATGTGTTTAATTCTTTGCTTGATTTATTAGAGTCCGGTAACGATGACAGTATCCCGGAGAAATTTTTGTTAGAAATTAGAGATGATGATGAGGAAGTTCTAAAAAGGTTGCTTAATTTATTGATTGGGAAATATTGCAAAAATGGGTTGTGGAATATGGCATTAGAGGAATTAGGTAGGCTTAAGGATTTCGGTTACAAGCCGTCTAGAGCAACTTACTGTGCATTGGTTCAAGTGTTTTTACAAGCTGATAGATTAGACACTGCTCATTTGGTTTATAGAGAGATGTCGGACGCCGGGATTCACATGGACAAATATACCCTAAGGTGTTATGTTTATTCGCTTTGTAAAACGGGGCAATGGAAGGAAGCACTTACATTGATTAAGAAGGAAGAATTTAAGCCTGATACTGTTATTTACACAAAAATGATTGCCGGGTTATGTGAAGCTTCGCTTTTTGATGAAGCGATGGACTTTTTGAATAGGATGCGTGCTGATTCTTGTGTTCCTGATGTAGTGACATACAGGGTTTTGCTTTGTGGCTGTTTGAATAAGGGACAGCTCAGTATGTGCAAGAGAATTCTTGAAATGATGATTACTGATGGTTGTTATCCGACTCTTGCCATATTTGATTCTCTTGTCCAAGCTTATTGCAAATCAGGAGATTATTCTTATGCGTTTGAATTGCTAAAGAAGATGACAAAATGTGGGATCCGACCAAGCTATGTTGTTTACAATAAATTTATTGGTGGCATTTGTGGCAAGGAGCTACCCAGCTCAGATGCGCTAGAATTAGCTGAGAATGCTTACAGTGAAATGCTTGCTGCTGGATTTGTACTAAATAAGTTTAATGTCAGCCATTTTGCCAGGTGCCTATGTAGTGCCGGGAAATTTGAGAAAGCCTGTAAACTTATCCATGAAATGATGCGTAAAGGCTTCATACCTGATACGAGTACATACTCCAAAGTGATTAATCATCTATGTAAGGCCAAAAATGTAGAAAATGCTTTTCTTTTGTTTGAAGAAATGAAAAAGAATGGTGTCGTACCTGATGTACATACATACACAATTTTAATTGCTAGTTTTTGTAAGGCTGGTCTGATAGAACAGGCTCGTAATTGGTTTGATGAGATGGTAAAGGGTGATTGTGCCCCTAGTGTGGTGACTTACACTGCCCTAATACATGCTTATCTTAAAGCAAGGAAGGTATCCAAGGCAGATGAACTCTTTGAGATGATGTTGTCTAAAGGTTGCATTCCGAATGTTGTTACATATTCAGCTTTGATTGATGGTCATTGTAAAGCCGGACAGACTGAGAAAGCTTGCCAGATTTATGCTAGAATGCACACTAATGAGGAAATCCTGGATGTAGATTTATATTTTAAAGCAGTTGACAGTGATGCCAAAACTCCAAATGTATATACGTATGGAGCTTTAGTGGATGGTTTATGCAAGGTTCACAAGGTCAAAGAGGCCCATGACTTATTGGAAGCCATGTCAGTAGATGGTTGTGAACCGAACCATGTTGTGTATGGTGCTCTCATTGATGGATTTTGCAAGGCAGGGAAGCTAGACAAAGCACAAGAGGTGTTTTCCAAGATGTCTGAAGCAGGTTTTAGTCCAAATACTTATATATACAGTTCATTAATCAGCAGGTTGTCTAAAGATAACCGTCTGGATCTTGTTTTCAAAGTCTTATCCAAAATGCTCGAAAATTCTTGCACCCCTAATGTTGTTATTTACACAGAAATGATTAATGGCCTATGTAAGGCTGGTAAAACAGATGAGGCCTATAAACTTATGTTGATGATGGAAGAAAAGGGGTGCAGTCCTAATGTGAGGACTTACAATGTAATGATAGATGGCTTCGGCAAAGCAGGTAGAATTGACAAAAGTCTTGAGCTTTTTGAACAAATGAGTCCCAAGGGTGTTGCTCCAAACTTCATCACATATAGGGTTTTGATAAACCACTGTTGTATTGGTGGCCTGTTGGATAAGGCTTATGACCTTTTGGAAGAGATGAAACAGACACACTGGCCTAGGCATATGGCAGGCTACTGTAAGGTCATTGAAGGGCTCAACAAAGAGTTCATAATGTCTCATGGGCTCTTAGACGAGGTTGGTAAAAGTGAATCTCTGCCAGTTCTTCCTGCTTATAGAGTGCTTATGAATAATTTTATAAAAGCTGGGAGACTAGAGGTGGCTTTACAGCTTCATCAGGAGATAGCATCATTTTCACAAGTTTCTGAAGCATACTATAGTACCTGTAATGCCCTTATTGAGAGCCTTTCACTGGCTCGCAAGGTTAACGAGGCTTTTGAACTGTACACTGAGATGACAAGGATGGGCGGAATTCCTGAGCTAAGCACATTTATTCACCTTGTTAAAGGACTCATCGCTGTGAACAAGTGGGAAGAGGCACTTCAGCTTTCAGATAGCTTCTGTCAGATGGTTTGTCTCTACAACTCCTTTGTCTTTTATTTTGAAAATATATTACAGCTAAGGCTTTTCAGCCGCAGAAGTTCTATGTTCGCTACAATAATTTTTCAATCACAATACCCGTGCAGTTGTGATCCAACATCTATAGTTATTGTCTTTTGATTTTTTATCATATGGTCGTGTAGTTCTTTTCTTTCTTTCTTTTCCTAGTATCTTTATTGTTTCGAAACTCTTACTTGGGCAGGATGTTCAATGGCTTCGAGGAAAGGAGACGCCTGATGCGGCTTAAGCTTTTTTGAACATTTGGTTTTCTGGTTTCATGATTGGTCACCGAACGGTTGTCGTAAAGGTTGACTTGCTTGGTTGAGGATTTGTTTTGTTGCATGCATAAGAATACAGAAGATAAGGCCAACACTGGAATGCTCAAACAAACCATGATAACCGTCTCTCAGAGACATCGGTGATCGTGTGAAATCGTTTGGAATTGGAAGCAAGTCATGCCTGCAACACATGGATTGTATACTCTTCATGTTACGTCGTCACTTACAAGGCGGTGCCTGTGAAGTATAGCTTCAATTCTCATCATTTTGTTTATGTTTATTTTGTCGTGGTTATATTAGATTGCTCATATCACTTAGTTGGAAAAATCTCTCATTCATTAGGGCTTAGTTGCTACATTGGTCCAAACCCTACGCCACAAAATGACTCAGGTGAGCCGAACAAACAACTGACGACCAATGACTTCTCGATAGCATGTGCACACATTAAAAACAATGAAGATGATGCAAAGGGTTTATTGAACAATAAATCCATGCCATGAATGTATTCCTGTGCTTATTTTCTTTTACCATGTTAGTCTTATTTTCAGACCCTAATCACATTGGCTATACAAAATGTGAAGTTTTGTAGTTGTACTTGGTTTGATTTTCTTTTCTTTGGTACCTGCATTTTGTTTGGTAAGAGGGAAAGTGAAAGAAAAGAAATAGAGTGGAAGGAAAATTTATTTCTTAATTTCCAACATTTTGTTTCATTGATTGTAACTAACTCGTTAAAATATTGAGTTATTTTTTATTTTGCATATCTTGTATTTTTTATCTGTTTTTATGTACCACTTGAATTAACAAAATGCTTATTTTATTTATTTATTTCTTGTAAAATTTTGTGATTAAACTTAATATTATTAATTTATTTTAAATATAAAAAGAAATATAAAAGTAAATATGATTATTTAGAATATCTAAATTAGAAAAAATAAAGATTTTAGATCATATATCATTATGCGGATTTGGATAGTAAATATCTATTTGTTTTCGTTTCAAATCTCGAAAATTATTTTGAACATTTAAACAAGTAAATACCTATGAATATACCATTCAAATATATATATATATATATATTATAAAAAAATACTATCATAGGCCTAGTTAAAAACTCCCTTAAGCGTAATTGAGGGAAAAGAGTACCCACATTAATACTAACAAAAGAAATTACGAGATAACACAAGTTATTTTAAAAACAAGTTAACAAACTAAAATCTCAATCCTACCCAAACCTAGTAGGATCACAACTACCCTTAACCACCTGGGTCATCTTAGTATTGGATTAAGTTTTTAGTCTACATAAATTCGATCCAAATATTGACATGTCATTTGAGTTTATAAATGTTTCATCCGACTTGAATTTTAAAATAGAAATTCGTAACAATCTAATTCAATATAGATATATAAAATTTTCTCATTTTTTCAAATATAATAAAAAACCAAAATGAGAAAAAATATAAAGAGAACTACTACTGCAACTCTCTCTAAATACATAATGAGTGATTAATTGTATTATTATTTCATGATTTTTTCATTATAAATTCGAATATAACTTAATCCAATTTTAATCTCTAAATTAATTAAACTCTATTTAAACTTGAATCTTTTTCAAAGAAAATAGACTCTATAAAATCCGAGACCTAGAAAGGGATATTCAATAGTCAACCGATTGTTTATTTTATTTTATTTTAAAAAAAATTATTCATATTTGGCTTAATGTTTTCCTAAACCCCATGGCCATCGTCTCCATCTTAAACCCTACACCAGAGCCCTTAACTGCTGAATTCTAAAAGAATCCAAATATACCCCAAAGCAAATGAGAAAAATATTGATAAACCCTCTATTCTCTTACTCAAAATCACTGCCTTTTTCCTCTCAAAATCCCCAACTTCCCCGCCTAATCTTCTTCTCTCCACTAACCCAGTTCATTTCCACCTCTTCCCCTGACAATCTCGATGGCCTAATCGATCCAAACGACTCATTCCCGATGCAAAACAACCCACGGGTCGAGCCTGTTTCATCCCAAGACTTTGCCTTCCTAAAGACTGATTCAAAGCCTTGTTCACAACATCAACTTGATGCTGGTAAGTTTTCTGACGACGCTGTTTTGATTGCCAATGCCATTTTGAGTGATAATGGGGAGTTTGGGGATAAAACCCAGATTTTTCTTAGGCAATTTAGGGAAAGAATCAATGAAAAACTGGTCGTTGAAGTTTTACACTTGGTGAAACTTAAACCTGATTTGGGTGTTAGGTTTTTCATTTGGGCTGGGAGGCAAATTGGGTATAGTCATACTGCTGCTGTGTTTAATTCTTTAATAGATTCATTGGAATCCGGTAATAAGGACAGAATTCCAGAGAAATTTTTGTTGGAAATTAGGAATGATGATAAGGAAGTGCTGAAAACGTTGCTTACTTTATTGATTGGGAGATGTTGCAAAAATGGGTTGTGGAATATGGCATTAGAGGAATTAGGTAGGCTTAAGGATTTCGGTTACAAGCCATCAAGAGCTACTTACTGTGCATTGGTTCAGGTGTTTTTGCAAGCTGATAGATTAGACACTGCTCATTTGGTTTATAGAGAGATGTCAGATGCCGGGTTTCACATGGATAGCTATACATTAAGATGTTATGCCTATTCCCTTTGCAGAACAGGGCAATGGAGGGAGGCCCTTACATTGATCGAGAAGGAAGAGTTCAAGCCGGATACTGTTTTTTACACAAAAATGATAGCCGGGTTGTGTGAAGCTTCGCTTTTTGAAGAAGCTATGGAATTTTTGAATAGAATGCGTGCTAATTCTTGCATTCCTAATGTTGTGACATACAGGGTTTTGCTTTGTGGCTGTTTGAATAAGAGACAGCTTGGTCGGTGTAAGAGAATTCTTAACATGATGATTACAGAAGGCTGTTATCCGAGTCCTAGCATTTTTAATTCTCTTGTCCATGCTTATTGCAAATCAGGAGATTACTCGTATGCATATAAATTGCTAAAGAAAATGATGAAATGTGGGTGCCAACCAGGCTATGTGGTTTATAACATATTGATTGGTGGCATTTGCGGCGATGAGGAGTTACCCAGCTCAGGTGTGCTAGAATTGGCCGAGAATGCTTATAGCGAAATGCTTGCCGCTGGAGTTGTACTTAATAAGATCAATGTCGGCAACTTTGCCAGGTGTCTATGTGGTGTTGGGAAATTTGAGAAAGCATGTAAAATCATCCATGAAATGATGCGCAAAGGCTTTATACCTGATACTAGTACATATTCCAAAGTGATTGCTCATCTGTGTGATGCCAAAAAAATAGAAAAAGCTTTTCTATTGTTTGGAGAAATGAAAAATAATGGTGTGGTACCTGATGTATATACATACACAATTTTAATTGATAGTTTTTGTAAGGCTGGTCTGATAGAACAGGCTCGTAATTGGTTTGATGAGATGCTAAAGGGTGGTTGTGCCCCTAATGTGGTGACTTACACTGCCCTAATACATGCTTATCTTAAAGCAAGGAAGGTGTCCAAGGCAGATGAACTCTTTGAGATGATGTTGTCAAAAGGTTGCACTCCGAATGTTGTTACATATACAGCTTTGATTGACGGCCATTGTAAAGCTGGACAGATTGAAAAAGCTTGTCACATTTGCTAGAATGATCACTAATGAGAAAATCCCGGATGTAGATTTATATTTTAAAGTGGTTGACAGTGATACCAAAACTCCAAATGTTTTTACATATGGAGCTTTAGTGGATGGTTTATGCAAGGCTCACAAGGTCAAAGAGGCCCATGACTTATTGGAAACCATGTCCGTGGTTGATTGTAAGCCTAACCATGTTGTATGACGCTCTATAGATGGATTTTGCAAGGTTAGGAAGCTAGACGAAGCACAAGAGGTGTTTTCCAGATGTCTGAGCACGGCAATAGCCCAAGTATTTTTACCTACAGTTCATTAATCGACAGGTTGTTTAAAGATAAACGACTGGATCTTGCTTTAAAAGTCTTATCCAAGATGCTTGAAATTCTTGCGCTCCCAACGTCGTTATTTACACAGAAATGATCGATGGCCTATGTAAGGCTAGTAAACAGATGAGGCTTATAAGCTTATGCTGATGATGGAAGAAAAGGGGTGCTATCCGAATGTGGTGACTTACACTGCAATGATCGATGGCTTCGGCAAAGTAGGTAAAATTGACAAAAGCCTTGAGCTTTTAGAACAAATGGGCTTCAAGGGTGTTGCTCCAAACTTCATCACATATAGTGTTTTGATAAACCACTGTTGTATCGTTGGCCTATTAGACAAGGCTTATGAACTTTTGGAAGAGATGAAACAGACATACTGGCCAAGGCATATGGCAGGCTACCGTAAGGTTATTGAAGGTTTCAACAAAGACTTCATAATGTCTCTTGGGATCTTAGATGAGGTTGGTAAAACCGAATCTCTGCCCGTTATTCCTGTTTATAGAGCGCTTATTAATAATTTTATAAAGGCTGGGAGACTAGAGATGGCTTTACAGCTTCATTGTGAGATAGCATCATTTCCACGAGTATCTGCAGCATATTGTAGTACATATAATGCCCTTATTGAGAGCCTTTCACATGCGCGTAAGGTTGACAAGGCTTTTGAACTGTATGCCGACATGACAAGGAAGGGTGGAGTTCCGGAGCTAAGTACATTTATTCACCTTATTAAGGGCCTCATTGCCGTGAACAAGTGGGAAGAGGCCCTTCAGCTTTCAGATAGCTTCTGTCAGATGGTTCGTCTCTTTAACCCCGTTTCTTTTATTTTAAAACTGTTGTAGTGGAAACTAGGACATTCTTTCTTCCCTCTCATCTTTATCGTCTCAAAATCTTCACTTGGACAGGATATTCAATGGCTTCGAGAAAACGAGACAGCCGGTGCGGCTTAGGCTTGTTTAAACATTTGGATTCCGGTTTACTTGATCAATCACCGAATGGTTGTGGTAAAGTTTTGCTCAGAAGTTGACTTTATTGTTCGAGGATTTCTTCTACATGCATACGGAAGCAGAAGACATGGCCAACAATGGAATACTTAACAAACTGAGATAACAGTCTACAGAGACCTTGGTCATTATTTAAAGTCATTTCGAATTGGAAGCAAGCCATGCCGACTTTAACTATCACTATCCGTTTATTCAGTCTAATAACGATGGTATGGTGCAAGAATGTAACTATTTGCATCACACTTGATGCATATGATGCAAGGCGGCACCTACGAAGCTCAGGTGCAATTCTCAGTCATTAATTATGTGTCTTCTGTCCAGTAACCGGACTCCGATCATATGCTATAGCTTCTAGATTTGTTCATACCTTCAGCTGTTAAAGTCTGTTTATTCATTGTGGCTTGATTGCAATTACAGGACTCAGCTGGAAGAATCGGGTTTTGTTCACCGAACTTGCCGAACCAAAGCACTTCGAAGTTCAACAGTAAGTGACAATGACCGGAATGAAAAGGCCCACTGCTCACAACTTCCGATACGGCAGTGATATTCACACACAACACAAGGTATGGTGGTACTACAGTCTACCGGTCAAAGATGGTCTGTGAATGGAATGACTCAATTGGTACGTTGGTATAATGATAAGGGCTTAATTGAGTGCATATTAGCCGAG